TGAATGAGCACCGGCACGGCTGTGCCAGGAGCAGGGGCGGCCTCGGGCGGCGCAGGCAGCCGAGCCCGGCCCGTCTGTGCCCGGGCTCCCGCCACGGCCGCGCAGCGCGGCTTACCGGAGCTGTCGCTGTCAAAGTCCCTCATCAGCGCGGGCCCGGCTCCGGCAGCCGTCAGCCCCTGGATCGTCACGGTGTAGCTGCTGCCGGGGCTGTGCTCCGGCAGCCGCTGCTCGGTGACCGAGCCATTGAGGCGCAGCCGCTCCGTCTCCAGCACGCTGCTGTCCCCCGCCCTCCGGGCTGTGATGCTCAGCTGCGGACAGGAGACACAGCTGCAACCCGCGGGGACCGGCAAAGTCCTGCCAGCCTTCCCTTTCCTTCCCTGGGCCTGCCCCGGCTCGGGAAGGCTCCGCAGAGGAGCGGGCAGGAGCCGCAGCCCCATGCGGGCTCCTCAGAGCGGAGGAGAGGAGAGGAGAGGAGGAATTGGGAGCCAAGACTCGGGACGTGTGAGCAGCAGCCTCTGCGAGCAAAGGGCCGAGGCTCTGCGGAGGGAAGAGGGGGGCTGTTGGTTTGCAGGGCCGTAGATTCATGTACTGAGCCTGAGGACAGGTCACCCCAGGTGTATCGCAACACCGAGGCACCGCGGTCACATCCTCCGCCCGAGGAAACTAAGCTTCTCTTTTCTCTGTGTAAAGTTGGGCTCTGAAGGCTTTCTCTAAGAGAGAAGGACAACGACTAAAGGTTCCATAAGTAATACAGATGAAGGGTGCCCATTTGCCCATGCGTCATCTGAATTTGTCGTGAGATCCACGGCCATTCTCCCCTGCTGACACAAACAGATGCTGGGCTTATGCACAAGTGAAGACAAGTGGAAGTGGAAAAAAAGGATTCTATTCATGCACATGGGTGTCTGGGAGCAGGTAGCCAGATGAACAGGCTCCCGGCATTGTCAAGAGCTTGTCTGAAAGCTTCTCCAGGAAAGAGCTAAGGAAAGGCTTGCAAGGTCCCTGTCACAGCATGGGGACCTCTGTCCTCAGAGAGGACCTAGAGCATGCTGAGAACAATGTCACCAGCACACACAGCCCCTGCCACTGCCAGAGAGCAGGGTTTTGCTGTGGAACGTGTCCCAAAGCCAGAGACAGTGGAGATGCTTGTAGGCATGCATTGAGGAAAACTCAACAGAATGGTGCAGCTCTCTGGAGAAGGGGCTTTCAGGAGGGGCTTTCAGGAGGGACTTTCAGAGGATTTGTCAAACCACAAGTTTTTCTGTGGCAAGAACCAGAAATGAGTAGGCAAGAGGCGCAGGAAACCCTGGGATGCCCCGCCAGAAGACACGTCACCATGTGTTGCACACCAGCCTCCAAAAGCCAGCGCCAAAGCAGAGCAGAGCCAGGAAGGAAGCCCCGAGAACATGGAGCTCTCAGAGCTCTCTGGGCATCTCCAGAGCATGAGGAATGTTGAGAATGAAACAGAAAACGCTGGTGCTCATCAAGGCCAGAGATTTACTGTCTGGGAGCTGTGGCTCATGCCAGCTGTCCCTCGCTCACACTTCCCATTCTGCCTGCACAGAGCTCCAGGCCGGGAGCCGAGGCTCTGCCCTGGTCCCTCGGTACCTGGTATCCGATGATCTCCCCGTTGCAGGAGGGCAGCGAGTTCCAGCGGAGAGAGCCCCTGTCGGCATCCAGCCACAGCTGCTGCGGTTTGTCCGGCACTGGAAGCACACAGTGGGGTCACACACGGGGCCGTGAGCAGGGGCTGAGCAGGAGGAGGGTGCAGGCAGCTCCTGGCCGTGGGACAGGCTGCAAAAGGGACTCCCTGCAAAGGCTTTGTCCCCTGCAAAGGCCTCATGTGCTGCAGCAGTGGGAAGCACAACAGTGTGGTGGGGAGTGGGACAATGAGGACAGGACGTGCCCTGCCCAGGGCTCTCCCAGCCCCTTCCCCAGAGCTCCACAGGAGCCAAGCAGCCCCGATGCCAGGCACATCCCTGCAGGGAGCAAATGATCAGGCTGAGCTGGCAGGTGGTGGGCACATTGATCCAGCTGTGACACAGCTCTGGACTGCTCCTCGTCTCCGGTATTTCTGTGCACATACCTGTTTCCTCTGTCGTGAACAACCATGAGAAAAGGGTTGTGTTGGGGGGCAAGTCGATGGTGACACTGTACTCAGTGAAGGGCTGCAGAGGGGAGCAGGTGAATGTTCCCTTCTGGCCATGTAACATCTGCTCTCCCTTCACCTCCTCAGCCTCACAGGGAGGGGAGGAAGGCGCTGCCAGCCGGCACATGGCCCTCATGCCCTGGCAGGCATCAGGGAACCTGCAGGTCCAGTTCAGTTTGATGCTGGTGCTGGAAATCTCAAAGGTCTCAGGGTCAACCTGGAGGACTTCTGTGAAGGAAGAATTGCCAGAAGGTCATGTTATTCCCTTCCCAGCCCAGGCATGCAAGGATGCTGCAGTCAAACAACCTTGCTCATCACCCAGCTCAGTGGGAGGGAAAGTGAGACTGAAGGTGGTCACTCCCAAAGGGGAGCAGGAGGAGTTGGACAGGAATGAATGTGGGCAAACGAGTGGACTACTACTGCTCAAGCAGTTTTCCCCATTTATTCAAAATGGAGGTGTCTGTGTGTCCCAGAATCTCTACAGCCCATCAGGTACAGCACTGTTCTCCCTTGGAGGGAACATGAATGCCCTGTGCTGTGAGAAGAGGGTGCTAAGCCTACACCCGCCATGCCCCAGAACCTGGAGGGGCCCAGCCCACATGGAGCAGGCTGTGTTACTCACAGCCACACCATCTGAGGGGACACAGGCAGCAAAGCCCTGTGATCCTGTGATCCATGTGCTGGCCACAAACTCCACCACAGATCCCTCTCCCATGCTTTTCTCCTTTGTGCACATGCTCCTGGCAGAAGCTCTCAGGGAGACCCTTATCACCCAGACCCCCAGGGGTGACCTGCAGGCTGGACTTGACACCTGCCATTTCCCTGGGCAGCACAGAGCCCAAAACCTCCTGTGCACCACACCCTGCTTTCCCTGCTCAGGAAGGGCAGAGCAAGGCAGCCAAGAGGGCTCCTGATCCTTACCACTGCACTCCACGCTGGACCGAATGCGGACCCAGACACCTCTGGAGTTTCTTCCAGTCCACACTTCTCTGTATACAGGCTTCCCACGAGTGAAGGACTGGACTTCACTAGAACATTTGATATGGCTGAAGGATGGTTGGAAACCTTCAGGGCAGCTCAGCATCACTTCATCATTCTTCTTATAATTCTGCTGGTCTGGCACCAGCTGGAGTGTGGAGTCCCACAGGGGCCTTCGGCACATTTCTGGCATAGCTGAAAGAGGGTGTTATTTGGGCCGGAGGTGAGGAGATGAGATATGGGTGAGAGGTGGGAGACAAATCCCCAGCAACCCCTCCAGCCTCTGAAGGAAGAGTGAAGGTGACACATCCATCTGCTGGGATGTGACCTTGTTGGGAAGGGGCTTTCCTTATGCATGGAAATTGTGAAGGATCACTCATCCATGAACTTGCCCCTTTCACACCTGTGTCCGTGGGCACCATATGCCCTTCTCCATAGCCCACAGCAAGGAGATTCCCAATCATCCCTGCCCTGGGAAACTCCCTCCAACCTCTCATTCAGGCCTTGCCCCCAGCCCAGCTCAGGTGGCACTTGCTGGGCCATGGCACCACCACTCCTGCTGTCATGCATGTATGTCCCTTCAGCCAAGGCTCATCCCTGCCACAGGGATCATCCCTGCCCCTGTTACACTCCTGGGCTCCCAGTTCTCACTCACTCAGTGCCTTGGCTGCTTTGCTCCTGCCCCACACTGCTGGGCAGCAGGACAGGGGGGGAGCAATGCCTTCTCCATTCACATCTCCTGCTTTACCAACCCCTGCCCCTTTCTCCTGACATAACCCTTCCTTCTTCTCGTCACCTCTTCACCAGATTCACCATCATCCAGGCTCAGTAGCCAGAAGCTGAGTAGCTGGTCTCAGCAGTTTGTCCAGTGCTGCAGGGGGAGGCTTTGTGGCAGTGATTCCTACAGAGAAGGATACTGGCTTCTGGAAGGAGCCCTTGCCTGTTCAAGCCTCTGCAAGGAGCTTTGCAAGGCCTGAAGGGCTTAAAATACAATCTCTCTTCTCTTAAAGGGGCACACAAGGGATCTCACAACTTTACCACAAAGGGAAATGGTGACAAACCACTTGTGCTCAGGCTTTCCTGTCAAACAGCCCTGATGGCAAAATACCAGATTTGCCCAGCTGAGCACCACAACCAGCAGCTTTGACCCCTAGCACACAGCCATGACCAATGCTCAGCCACTGATCTTTCCCCAGTCCATCTGTCTGGCAAAGCAGCAGCAAGCTCCATCTTTCACTGCTCTCAGCAGGCACAGCGTCCCTCAGCCACACCTGGGGACAGGATATGTACAGAAAGTGACACCTCCTTGAAGACCCTTCCCTGATTCACAGTGTGTGAACTGATGCCCAAATCATGCCCACTGTCTCCAGGGAATGACTGGCAAACTGGTTTTATGGAGGGCATGACCCATCCCCACACATCCAGGCCATTCCTGTCTCTCCCACATTGTAGCTCCTGTCCCTGGATCAGACAGAGGCTTCCCCAGCTGACACAGCCCTCAGGAGCCTGTCTGGGCTCCAGCCCAGGGCTGCAGGCTGGAGATGAGTATCCAGTGTAGAGGAGGAAAGGCAGCAGAAGCTTCCAAGAGGAAGAACCGCTTCTTACCTGTTCCCTGGGGCACTATTTGGATGTTGAAAAAATCATCCTGGCCATGTGCTGACAGTAGAGATGCAAAGGCCAGGAGAAACCTCAGAGCCAGTGACTGCAGGGCCATCCTAGTGTGAAGTCCCCAGACAGGACTGAAATCTTAGCCCCACTTGCTGCCTCTGAGCCCAGGCATCCGCATCTGACTGTAAGGCTTGCAACAGGAAGGAAACCAACACATCACCTCGTGAGATGCAGGAAGCTTCCTCTTTGGGCAGGGAACATCCCATCACTGTCAGCACTTCTGTCTTTTGATATCTTTTTGCCCCAGAAGCATCCAGGCTCTGGGACTCAGTAGAAAGAACCTTGTTACCAAGATCCCAGAGTTTCTTCCCAAAGCCCTCCTAGTTACCAGGGCATTCAATAAGTGTTACTCCTGTTTCTGAGGTAATATCCAAGTGCTTCCTGACACTGCGTGGGTTTTAGAGTGCTGATGAGTCACTTCCCCTCAACGATCACAGGAGATGGAGGACCTTTGAGAAACCACATAAAGACCTGGTCAGAAGCACGGATAGGAATGCCACATGAACTGCAAGGAGTACTTCAATGCCTGGAACAGTCCGTGGCTCTTCTGAAAGAAACACTCCACCCACACCCTCTCTCATCCTTCCTCGCTTCTCTATCCTCAGCTGCCTCCTCCTCCTGCTCCCTCTCAGCCTGGAAGCGCTCTCCTCTGTCCCCAAGTGTGCAGACCACGCTGCCCTGCACTGCCAGCTGTGTGCTTGAGAAAGCACTCACAGTACTTAACCATGCTCCCTTGCTCTTCAGCAGCTGCCGCTTTTCTCTTCCTCCAGAACCTCCCATCTGCTTGGGATGTCTCAGATTCCAGAAGGCTGGGTGATCAGACATGGGGGGCTGCAGAGCACAGAGACCATGTCCCTCAGCTTTGCCTGTGGCACATGCACAGGACTCACTCCTGCCCGGAGTGAAGGGTGCCCTGCTCACAGCTCCCCTCAACAAGGTGCAGTTAGCTCAGCACCCACAGGGAACAGCACCTCACAAGGACAATGAGGGGACTAGGCAGGAGCTGGTAGCCCTGTCCAAACCACAAACCTTTACTGACTGCCTGCACAGAGCAGGTGGAGTCATGAGGCTGGCAGTCCTGAGTATCACTGGGTGTGGGGGGATGGAGTGGGAAGCAAGATAGCCAGGGAGGTGGCAGGTGTTCTCCCCTATCCCAAGCCTGCTCAGTCCCTTTTCTCAACCAGCAGCAGCCACACAGCTTTGAGTTGCTCTTCTCCTCTCTGCCCAATACCCACAAAGGGCTGCTCCATCAGGCACACACGTTTCACTAGCAGCAGTTCACAGGAAGGAGATATTTTGGTCCCAGGGACCAGTTGCAGGTACTGAGCTGTTGGACAGACAGCTCATATGAACTGTCAAAACATGTCTTTACCAGCACATGCAAATCACACCAGGCTGAAAAAAAAAAAGCTGGAGAAGAGAACAGTCAATTGTTCTATGTTCTGTCAGTGTACTCCTCTACAAGGAGAGCCTTCAGGCTGCCCCTCAGCCTCCAGGCTGCACTGGGTACTGGCAGGTCTGACAGGGGAGAGAGATAACACTGAAGCAAAAATCCATGACAGCTCTGTGTTCAAGGCTGTAAAAAGCACAATCAGAGCCAGCTTGTCACACCTGAGTCCAGGGAACTCAGGGTGTGTGCCCAAGGGCAGGAGAAGGAGATGGAAATGTCACAGGCAACACACAGAGCTGGAGAAAAGAGAGGTTGATCCCCCCATTTGCCATCTCCTCACCAAGGAGAGCCTTCGGACTCTGCCTCAGCATCCAGGCTGGACTGGGCACTGGTGTCCCACAGGGTGAGGGACAGTGGCTGCTGGAGGTGATGGGACAGCAGCAGCTGAGAGCCAGCAGATCCCAAAGGCTGCAGGACACCATGTCCCAAGAGGGTCAGTGCCAACTGCACCTCACAAAATGGGAGATGGCCACCAGCACCCACAGAGGAGGACACAGACCAACACAGAGGTCCAGCTGTGGATAGTAGAGATGGTGTTAGCTATAGGATGGGGAGGAGGGAAAGCAGCAACCCAAAACATTGCACTGGCAGCATGTAGCACCTGTGGTGTGCTTCCTTGGAGCTGCCAGGGGTTGGAAAATCCTACTCCAAATTCCTCCATGAAGATTCAAGGAGTCAAGGCTTTCACACACAAAACAAAGAGGACCCATGACAAGGTGGGAGCTTTTGTGGGCCAGGCAGCCCCTGCAAACCAGAACAATTTATTGGTTGTTTCAGACACAGCAGTACAGTGGCCAGGGCAGCAGAGCTAGGCAAAGCTCAAGCAGAGGACAGGGTCTAGATGGATACAAGGACACAGGGTGGAAAGAGGAGTTGTGAGCTCCTCCATTCTCAAGGGACACTTGCAGGCACCAAGATGCTGGTGAGATGGTTATGCCAGAACACTGGAGAACTACTGGGACATATCCTTGCAGGCACAAGCAGGTCATCCCATGCCTTGAGCTGCTCCTGTGCTGTGACAGGGGATTCTGGAGCTTGATGAAGATAACTGGGGGGAAGCAATAATCCATGAGATGATTCATTGTCCTGCTTACAGTGGTGAAGGACCAAGCCTGAAGAAGGCAAGTGCCATCACCATTGAGCCTCAGATGTTTACTCCAGCTGCTCTTCTTCCTCACTGCTTTGACTCTCCTGAGGATTCCAGAACAGGCAAGGGCTTGGGAGATGGCTCTCCAGCCTGGCCACATTTACCTGAGGAGAGCAAGAGAACCAAGGGCAGAAGCTGCTGCATGCCCTTGGCATCACCATCTGGCAGTCCTCACTCTCTCTGTGCCATGTGGGGTCACAGGCAGGACAACCCATTTCCTACCTGCATCTTTCTCAAGGAAAGTCTCCATCACACAGTAATTACCCTCATGTACATTCTCATAGGGCTGGAGCTCTGTGGGGGACAGGAGAGCAGAAACAGTCTCAGGGACCCTGAGGGGGCTGTGGGAGAAGGAGCAGGGCAGCCTCAGGCAGGCAGCATCACCAGGGGCTGGATGGGATCCAGGGCATCCTGGGATGCACACCGGGACAGCAGGGCTGGGAAGAGCTGCTGCCTGCCCCAGAGACAGTGAGAAGGAGGAGCAGTTCCCAGCCCTCACTGGCATGGCAGTGAACCAAGAGCTGCTGGAAGAGGCCACTGAGCAGGGTCTCAGCTGGGAATAGATGTGGGACACATTGGCCTGACAGGTCAGCCAAAGCCAGCTGGGCTGCCTGGAGCTACCTCAGAATGCTTCCAGGCCCTCCTGAAATACACCTGCTCCCCTCCCAGCTCCAGCCCTACGGTCCCCTCTGTGCTGGGGATCCTACCTGTGTAGTGATCCTCCTCGGCTTTGCTGGGCAAGGCCTTCTTTCTTCTGGGAAGGCAAAGGGCATTCCTGAGTCAGGGAGAGGCTGACCTGGGCCAGCCCCTGCTGAACCTAGCAGCAGTGGCACAGAGAGTTCTGCACACCCTCCCTCTGCCCTGGCAGGCATTGCCCACCTACACCCCAGGGCACAGCAGTGGTGGCTGCAACAGCAACAATGGGAGAGGGTCTCTCAGCACACATGGCCCCTGTCCCAGCCCTCAAGAAGTCACTTAGAGCCCCAGCCAGGAGCCCTAGAGCCACTTTGGACCAAGGACCAGCCGGCTACATCCTCTGCACCCAGAGAAGGGTGGGAGCAGCTGGGGAACCCCCTCTCTCCCCATCCCAAAAACAGCACAGCATGGCCTGAGGCAGAGTTGAGACTCCAAATCTCCTGCACTCACCTGGACAGCACGAACCAGAGGATCCCAGCAGACAAGGGGATCAACAGCACCACCACCACCACTACACTGACTGCTGACACAGGCCAAGGGCCTTCAAAGAACACACAGAGAGGAGGGGGTGTCACAGGCTGGGCCGTGCACCAGCAGTGGCCCCAGCCTTGCTGCTGGGTGTCTGCACCTCTGTGGAAATGTGTGTCCAGACCCTGCTGCAGAGACAGGCAGCAAGACAGTGTTCCCCTGCCTGCACATCTGCTTGGGCAGGGCAGAGGGAGGCTCTGGGCCACAGAGCCCCGTGCCATGGCCCCAGCTGGAGGGTCTGGCAGCCTGCCCAGACACAGACCCTGGCTCAGCAGCCCTAGTGCTCTCTGACCTTGAGCCACCCGTGCACCCAAGTGCAGGGATGGGTGTCACCTTCTTCAGTGGAGGAGTGCAGGGGCCAGGTCTGATATCAAAGGCACAAGCAGTGGCTGAAGCGGTGCAGCTCCTCTGTGGACCTGCCAATGAAAGCTCCCCAGGAAAGACTCAGCCAGCCTCATGCCCACTGCTGAGCCAGGTGCCCACTTTCCCTGCCCCTGTCAAAGACAGGGCATTTGCACCCACACACCTGGAAGCTGCTCCAGACTCAGTACTCACCCCCTGAGAGGCCACCCCAACCAGGCACAGGGCAGAACAACCATTACCCTGGATGTAGGTTTTGAATTCCAGCTCTGCTGCAGCCCCAGCCCCAGCTGCCGTCAGGCCCTGCACTGTCACCAGGTATTTCCTGCCAGCTCTCTGATTAGGTGGCACATACTCAGAGACAGACTGGTTCACCAACTCCTGACTGAATCCGAGGAAGCTGCCGTCCTCTGCTCTCATGGTGGTGATGTTCAGCTGGAGGAAGGACAGGGAGCTGCTAGACAGTAGCACCAACATCCTGCTTCTGCACTGGGCAGCTCTGCAGAGAGAGGCTGCTACTGCTGGCTGGGCACAAGAAGGGGACCTGGCCCCACCAGGAGCACCAGCAGTGTACAGCCTGTGGGCCCTGGCCAAGGAGGGCTCACATCTCTCCTCAGGCTGCCTGCACAGAGCTCCAGGCAAGGTGAGAGGGGACCACGGGCACCCCACATGGACTCCTGGTACCTGGTATCCAATAATCTCCCCTTTGCAGGAGGGCAGCGCCTTCCACCTGAGGGACCCCGTGCTGACATCCATCAACAGGTTTTCTGGTTTGTCTGGCACTGCAAGCACAGGAGAACAGGATCATGCATGGAAAGCAATTATTTGTCCCCCACAAAGGCTGCTTGTGCCTCTGTGGCAGCAATGGTGTGGTGAGGACGGGGAATGTCCTGCTCTAGGGCCCTGCACAGCCCCTTCCCCAGATCCCCACAGACAGCAAGCTGCTCTGATCCCAGGAACATCACAGCAGGGAGCAGATGCTCTGGCTGAGCTTCAGGGTGAAGGATATCCTGACATTTCATGTAAACATACCTGTTTCCTTTGTCGTGAGGAGCCATGTGTACAGGATTGTTCTAGGCAGCAGGGAGATGGTGACACTGTAGACAGTGAAGGGCTGCAAAGCGGAGCAGGTGAATGTTCCCTCCTGGCCTTGTAGTATCTCTTCTCTTTTCACCTCCTTAGCCTCACAGTTTGAAGAGGAATGGTGCTCCAGCCGGCACCTGGCCCGAATATGCTGGCACATGTCAGGGTGCATGCAGGTCCAGTTCAGTTTGATGCTGGTGCTGGAAATCTTCAGACTCTCAAGGTCAACCTGGAGGACTTCTGTGAAGGGAAAGTTCTGAGAGGATCACTCCTTCCTTCCCCTCCAAGCCTTGACATTAAACTCCATCCACACCACCAATCCCTCACTTGCCTGTCCCTAGCACAGAGGGGACAAGGACATTCTGCCTTCTCCCAGACCACACATGCCAGAGTTGCCAACAGCACAGACATAAACCAGGGATGCATCCAGAATTTTCTCTGTATTCCTCTGCCATGCCCCAACCACCCAGAGCACAGGACACTGACACTGTGCCACACATGCAGAATTGCTCTCCATGCCTGGGGAGGACAGACCCAGAGCACTGGGAGAGTGTCTGGCTTGCTCACTTACCAACACAGCTCAAATTCTTCTCCATACGGTACCAGGTGTCTGTGCCATTCCTCACTATCCAGCCGCTACGAGGAACCACAGAACCTTCCCTTGGCTTCAATATCACACATTTAAGCTCCATGTGAGAAGGCCAGTACCCGTCAGGGCAGCTCATCTTCACCAGTTCATTTGGGTTGAAGGTTGCCTGTTTTTGGTCAAAGATAAACCTGGGGTCCCACTGGGGCTTCTGGCATTTCTCTGCACCAACAAGATGGGAAAGTGTTAGCTGGGCAGTGTGGCTCTGCAGGGCATGCCAGGGGATGGAGCAGGGCATCCCCTTCCCTGGCCCACCAGGACACTGCACAGAGCTGCCCTTCCACATCAATTATTTGGCAAGAGGATGAGGACAAAAAGGACTACAAACTTCTTTGCCCAGGTCTCCTTGGAAGGGCCAGGAGGAGCTGGAGTCAGGGACTGAGAGGAACCCATGAGGGGTTTGTACTGTGCACAAAGCCTGCCCAGAGACTCTGATGGCCTGTTTTTCCCTCAGGCAGGATGAAAACATCCTGATTCCTCCTGAGAAGGCATAAAGTCTGAGCCCCAGAGCTGGCTCTGCATGCAGCAGGGACAGGGAGGGGTGACCAGCCCAGGAGGAGGAGGCCATGCCTTTACCCTTGTCACCTGTGCCACAAACACCTGTCAGACCTACAACACCTCCTGTTGGAGTCTGAGACACAGAGTGTGTACCCTTGTTTCTGATACCTAACTCTAAGATCCAGAAAAACACTGAATTTCATATAACATGAAATCCATGAGCATGTTTTCATGATGATACATGAAAACAACTGTTAAAGTTAGATAGAAAAAGCTCAAAGTGTGTGTAGATCAGAGAGTTTTCTTAAGCCACTGGGTGAAAAAGTTAAAAGTTTAGAGTTTAAGTTAGTTTAGAAAGCAGAAGGCAAGATGGAGGATTTAGAATGTTGTTTCTTTTCCTTCTTCTTTCTTCTTCATGTTCTTCTTCTAGAGGTTTTTGGGTAGTAGTAGGTGACTGGTTAGAAAACGCCACAGTGCAGCACACAGGTGATGGGTCATTGGGTCATTAAGAAAAATAATACACGTGTCTATTGTTAATTGGGTAAGAATAGGTATAAAGATAAAAGAACTGCATCGTTCAGGGCCATTTTGTGCTTTCAAGGCCAAAGTGAGCCACAAGGCCATTCTGAACCGTCAGAAGAAAATGAGCCAGATTGAAGTAAACTTGTGCAGATAGTCTGGAGAGACCTGCCAAGTTTTGTTATAACATCCTAATAAACATGAGAAACAAGATCCTAACAGGCTTTGGAGTTTTTGTCCTGACCAGGAGAACTGTGATAAATGGGATTCCCCGTGAAGGAATATCCCCAAGGAGCTCAGCTCAGAGTAGACTGAGAAATCCAGGAGAGGAAAGGAAAGTACAGAAGTACAGCAGAATCAAGAAAGAGAAAAAAGAAACAAAAAAGAATTTTTTTAGAAAAAGTTACACTGTAGCCCTGACTTTTTGGCACATGCTCTTGCCAGAAGCCCTTGGGGGTGACCTGTGTGTCCCACACACCACCCAGCCCCTGTGAACACAGCCAGAAGCCCTGCATGGCTCCTGACCTCCTGTGCCAGTGCTAGTTACTGCCCAAATGGCTACTTTGGTATCAAAGTAGGGACCTTTGCACCAAAACTCCCTCCTTCCAGGATCCCCAGGGATTAAAGCCTGCATCAACCATCTTCCCACCTGGGCACCCCAGAGCCCCAGGGCAGGCACAGGGCAGACTCAGGAGCTGTCTCCACACTGCCTTCAGCAGCACCTGCCATTTCCCCAGGCAGAACAGAGCCAGAAGTTTCCTGTGCACCCCCAGGCTGCCTTCCCTGCTCAGGAAGGGCAGAGCAAGGCAGACAGGAATGCTCCTGATGTCTCCTTACCAAGGCACTGTACCCTGAACTTGGACTGAATGCTGATCCAATTGCCACTTGTGTCTCTTCCATTCCAAGTTTCTCTGTACACAGGTTTTCCATTGATAACAGACAGAAGTTTTCCTGTACATTTTACATGGGTGAAGGTTGGCTGGAAACCCTTGGGACAGCTCAGCCCCACTTCTTCATTCTTCTTGTAACTCTCTTGGTCTGGTGCCAGCTGGAGTCCAAAGTCCCAGAGGGGTTTTTGGCATGTTTCTGGCAGAGGTGAACATGGGTATAAGTTGGGCTGGGAGGTTTCAAGGAGGAGCAGGGTATGTGGTGGTGCTTCAGCAATCCCCAGCAGTCCCCTCTAGCCCCTGAAAGGAGCAGGAGGGTGACCCAACCACCTGCTACAATGGGACACCTTGGCAAGGTTGGTTGGGATGGGGCTTTCCTTGTGGGCAGGTGTCAGCTGGGGCCTGTCTGGGCAGGTGGTGGGCAAGGATGTGCCAGAATTCATTAGGGGAATGGTCTCAGGTATCAAATGCCTAAGATGCAAGCAGCCCCAACACGGTATCAGAATTGCATCCCTGGCCACAGTGATGATGGAAGCTCAGAGATGGATGAACAGGACAGAAATGGACCACAGAGCTCGGTAGGAAGCACTTCCTGACACCTTGCTTACCAATGCACACTACATTCCCCTGGACTTGAATCCACACACTGTCGCTCCTTCTCCCCAGCCACACTTCTCCCTTTAGAGATACAGAAGAATTCAACTCCTGAACCCTGTTTGCACATTTGACATGGGTGAAGGATGGCTGGAAACCATTGCTGCAGCTGAGAGTCACTTCTTCGTTCTCTGTGTAACTGTCACGGGCTGGTGCCAGCTGGATTCTGGGGTCCCACCAAGCAGGCCTTTGGCATGTTTCTGTCAGAGGTAAAATTGCGTGAGGAGAACTCTTGGAATGTTATGAGAGGAGTCTTGGGACAGTCTGACTATTCACCCCAACACATACAAGTGTCACCCCAATTCCAGGACTCACAAGCCTCCTTTGGATTCCACCCCCTCCATGGGGTGTTTGAGTCTCCATTTTCTTGTCTCCCTCATGTGCAGGTGAGCCATGCTGCAGTAACAGCCTCCCACACCAGAGACAACCCAAATCCTAGAGAAGCTTTCCAGGCAAACAAGCAGAACCCCTGTAGCTATTCCTACTCCATGCTGAGGCAAGAAATGCTGGCTGGGAAGGATGCCTCTCCCCAGGAGCACAGAGCCCAGCAGGTGCCTACAGCAAGGTGCTGAGACAAAAAGAGCATTGTCACTGCCAGGACATGGGGGAAAGCCAAGGCGTCCAGGTCTCCCATGCCTGCACTGTCATGTGCATGACCAGGTCACAGAGGGTCTGTCACCAGCTCAGGACCCTGGGTCAGGGTGGTGCAGGGCTGTGCTTACCTTTGCAGCTGGCAGTCTCATTCCACAGGATCTCAGCCCCTCTGGAAACGCATTGGATCTGTGGCACAGATGGCGCAAACTCCCCAGCACAGCTGAGCTGCACCACTTCATCCAAGGCATAGCCATCGTCCTTTCTTGGGCTAAACCTCAGCTTGCGGTCCCAGTGAAAGGGAAGTTTACATTTTCCTGTGTGCAAAGACCAGGAGGCAGAGCCTGAGGGTCCCTGGGCTCCAGCAGCATCCTTGAGGATGAGGGTGTTCCATGCAGAGGGGGGCCAGTGGCCCTCTCTTCAGAGGGGTGGCAGAGATGGCACCTCCCAGGATGGCCCCATCCCCCGGATGCTTTATCCCTCCTCACAGCCTCAGGGGCAGTGCAGGAGGGTTATCCACAGGCCCTCCTGCCCACCCACTGCTGCGGAGGCACCCCAGCCAGAGGGATCCAGCAGCCTGGGGGGTGCTGCTCTCTCCCACAAACACAGGGGCTGTGGGAGTGCATCAGACCCAGGGAGTCACTGCTGCTATTCCAGACTCCACAGCTCAGTCCCATGAAGTGACTGCCAGCAGCAATTATGAATAACAGGAGTAAAGTTGCAGATAACGAGAGAAAGAACAAAGCAATTCTGTGGAAGCAATAACTACAGGAATGAGGCAGACAGAAGGTGAATCGTCTAAGTTCTTGAAAGGAGAAAAACAAAAGAATAGCACCCGTCTCATCCAGGATGTTTACCTCTGAGCTAGAAAACACACATTTCTGACGAGTGTCCTTACGTTATTCATCACCCTAGTGATGAATCCTTGCTCTTAATTGAAGTAAAAAACCCACGTTCTCAGTTCATTTGCCTCCTTCTCTCAAAAAGACCACCGCTCTCCTAGCGTGTACCATGATTTCTTGGAACACTGTGCTTTTACAGTGAAGAAGGGAAAGGATGAGTCATAGTAACGCAGGCAAGCAGTGACTTCAGTAAGGTATACTAATAGCCAAAGATTGTGTCTGTGTCAGTATACCTGCTTTTGTCTGCCTCGGTGTGCTGGCTGTGTGGATTTGCCACCTAGCACACCTTTCCATGCAGAACTGTAAATAAATTAAAGACCTTGACTCTGTGTGTTAATCAGCTTTTTCTGCTCTGGGTGAAAGAAGCTTCCAACCAGAGTCTGCCCCTCAACCCACCTAGGTTCACACCAGTGGCCACAAAGCTCACACCCTGCTCAATGTGCTCAGCCTAGCCTCTGCACTTCACCCAAAATCCATCTGCCTTGTCCTGCCCTGGCGGATATGTCACCTAGACTTGCTCACTCAGTGCAAACCAAATCCATGAGGAGGCAGTGGGCATGGAGGTGGCCTTCCCTGAATGAGGATGCAACACCTTTCTTCAGCCACAACTGCCCACTTCCTGCCAGCCAGCACTCACCACTTCCCTTTTCTGGCAGCGAGTTTCCATGCCACCATCACAACTCTCTTCCCAGCTTTCCACCCCAAAGGACAGTGGTGACCATTCTTTTAGACCATGTGGTGCAGACACGAAACTTCTTCCCCCACAACGGTGTCTCTCCCAGTGCCCTCTGAGCACACTCTGCTCTGACAGAAAACAACCTGACAGACATGAAACCCTTGACTTGGTCCCAGCCTCATCAGGCATCCCCCTCACACACTTTCCCCGCCACTGCCATTAAACACCCTGGAGTAACACACACCCTGCCCAAGGGTGACATCCTGGATCCTTTTGGGTCAGTCCCAGGCATGAGTACAGAGTAGGAGAGGAGAAGAGGCTCCATGCTGCCCTGGATAGCTGAGAGCTGCCCACTGCTGGAAGGGCAGCATCCCTTGAGCCACCAGTGATGGGCAGCATGGCTCATGGCCCATCTGATGATTTGGTTAGCCTCTTCTGCTCCCATTTCCCTGCAGAGAGAATATTCACAGCTCAGGTCCCCTAGCCGTGCTGTGCCCCATGGGGACCTCGACAGGTACCAGCAAGCCAAGTGTTTATGGCACATAACCACCACAGGAAAGCACACATTTTTTGTAGGAAGAGCCTAGCAGAGCCCCAGGAGCTCCTCCTGGCATGGAGAAATAACAGAAGAAGCCTCTTGATGTAAACAATCCCACCAAACTACAGTTCCCTCAACCCCAGGGACTATGGGAGAGAGCAGGCATCCCAACTAACAGAGCTCACAGCTCCCCACGTCTTTGATGAACACCCTCATCACCTGTGGTGATGCTTGGTGCAGCCTGAACTGCCCAGAAAGCCATCACTGCTCTGATTGCTCTAGATTCATCCATCTGCTGCATAACAAGACCCAGCCACCTCCTTCTCTCAGCTGAACTGCCCATTTCCTAGAGGGACACTGCAAGTCCCACACTCGTGGAAATTTCCCAGCACACCAAGGCTTGCTGCCCTCCATCCCAAATAGAGCTTTGTCCACACAACCTGAAGGATGCCTGAATGTCTCAGGCACATGCAGATACCAGTTTCAGCCTTCCCACAGCCTCAGCTGTGGGCTGAGCAGGGTAAGGCCATGTAGCAAACAGGCAGGTAGACGAGCAGCAAAGCCATTTTTGTAACAGAGAGGCACAATCCACTCTTACCCTCTTCCTTGTATGTCCTCGGAGTCATAGGCCTGTGGTGCCCCTGTCCCCGTGCAAGCAGCAGAGGAGCAAGGGCCAGGAAGAATGTCAGAGACAGCGCTGGCAGGGCCATGATGGCATGCAGTGCCTGGGCAGGACTCAGTGTGAGCTGCTCAGGAAAGGCGTCTGTGCAGCCCTGCACAGGAGAGGTGCTCACACAGAAATGAGACAGCCCCACAGGGGAATCACATGTGGTGCAAGAAGCTTCCTCTTTGGAAAAAGAGTGTCCCACCAGCCTCAGTGTTGATTCTCACACATCTTCCCACAGATAGTGGGTACAGGCTCCATGCAGTCTCCCAGGTGTTTTAGTCTAGCCTTTTCCTTGCTACCTCAGGGTCCCATAGCCCTGCTCCCACAGGCACTCCAAAACCTCACGTCTGTCTCCTTCCAGATCCAGTGGATGATGTTGAGGAACACACCCCTGATTAAAGTGCCCAAGGCTACCCTAGGCTGCTCTCATCATGCATCAATGCATCAATTTCTCTTTCAAATCATGTAATCATTTATGCTGGAAAATACTTCTGTGATCATCAAGCCTAACCACTAAGCCAGCACAATAAGCCCACTATTACTAAAACACATGCCTAAGTGCCACTCCTACATATCTTTTTAAATACTCCCAAAAGTCTCTTAATTACCTTGAACTGATCCAGTTGCAACATCCTTGTTGTTGAATCCCACCAGCAGAGTTTTCAGATCTCTTTCCAGATCTCTTTCCAGACAAGCTACTGGAAATGTTCTCTTTTCCTTTCCTCTCCAGACCTTTCCTGCTCTGAGCTGCTCTTTGTCAGTGCCTTTTAGGATGGGAAGCACTCAGCAAGGACTGTGTGGACAGTATGGGGATAAGAGGGTCTTCCTGGAGATGGATGGAGGTGTCTTGTTCCTGTTGAGCTCAGGTTGTGTCTTTGGGTGTGGGACAGTGCTCCTAAGTGCTCTCCATTTGGGGCATGCTTACACTCCCCTGGTCTCCTGTCCCTGCAGATGTCACCACCAAGCTCTTCTCTGAGCCCTTTTTCAGTTCACCAAGTCTTGCACAGCTTCAAGCTTCCATGAGTCCTGACTCCCTGTGCTGTTGCAGCTCTCCTGGGCTGCTCCTCTTTCAACTCTCTGCTTTACAGAGTCTCTCTAAGTTTTCCTGGATAAACACACACAATTGCCTTATGCAGCAAAACTACCAGTGTTCTGGGAATAGGTGCTGTCACCCAAGGTGTTTTTCACCACTCAGCTGGAA